CTGGACCGTGTTGCTCCCCTTAAAACCAGAAAAACGAAACTTAGATCAGAGCCTTGGCTGAATGACGTCACTCGAGCCGTTAGGCAGCAGTGTCGCAGAGCTGAACGAAGGTGGAGGAAGGACAGGCTCCAGGTGTCTTTTCAAATGTTAAGGGAGAGTTGGCGTCACTATCAGAAAACCGTTAAAGCTGCCAAATGTAAATTCTTCTCTGATTTAATTGTCTCCAACTCCCACAACCCCCGAGTTCTCTTCTCCACCCTGAACTCAGTTCTACACCTCAGTGAGCCTTCACCTCTGGAAGCCTCAACTGAGCTGTGTGAAAACTTCCTCCATTTATTTTTAGAAAAAGTGGCAAACACCCGGGCACTCATTTCTCCACCAGCTCATGATCTGTCCATCCCATCTCAGTGTGTGGTTGTGTTTGACCACTTTGAGCCCATCTCTCTGTCTTCTCTGGAGCAGGTAATGTGCAGCATGAAGCCATCTGGTTCCCCCTTTGATGTGGTCCCCCCTCGACTACTAAAGGAAGTTTTTCCTACCCTGGGTCCTTTTATCCTCGCTATTCTGAATAGCAGTTTATCCTCAGGTGTGGTGCCAAAGACTTTTAAACATGCTGCTGTCCAGCCCCTCCTGAAAAAACCTAACCTTGACCCCTCAGTCATGTCCAACTTCCGGCCTGTCTCCAGACTCCCATTCACCTCTAAACTACTGGAAAAAATTGTGGAGTCTCAGTTGAAACAGTTTTTGGGGGATCACGCTATCCTAGAGTTATTCCAATCTGGCTTCAAATCTCGCCATAGCACTGAAACTGCTCTACTGAAGGTTTTTAACGACATTTTCATTTCCACAGACGCAGGTGATTCTGTGTTGTTGGTCCTATTGGACCTTACATCTGCTTTTGACACCATCGACCACAAGATCCTCATTTCTAGACTGGAGCAGTGGGTGGGCATCACAGGGTCAGCCCTTAAATGGTTTGGGTCCTACCTATCTGACAGAACCTTCTGTGTCAATATCAAAGATTCTAGTTCGGCATCGACAGCGCTCCAGTGGGGGGTACCGCAGGGGTCCATCCTCGGTCCCCTTCTCTTTTCTTTATACCTGCTGCCACTAGGTGCTATCTTCCGCAAACACGACATACCCTTTCATTTCTACGCCGATGATTGCCAAATTTACTTCCCCCTGAGGCACAGAGGCACACGCTCTATTCAGCCTCTTCTTGACTGCCTGGCTGACATCCGGGACTGGATGGCTTTAAACTTCTTAAGCTTCAATGAGAAGAAGTCTGAAGTCATGCTGTTCCATCCCAGTGGCTCACTCATGAACCATGACATTGACCTTTTCTCTCTAGCCCCGCTAGAGAAACAAAAGGTCACTAATCTGGGGGTGATAATGGACCCATCCTTAAAACTCAACAGTCACGTAAACATGATGGTCAAATCCTGTTTTTTTCAGCTGAGACGGCTGTCTAAGCTGAAGCCTATACTC